CTCAGCCAGGAGCACTAGGCCAGCTGCTATTTCGATCAAACAATTATTTATCCTGACAAAGGTGGAACCTGTGAGAAACCTCTTGGCAGCAGAACTTGTTTCTTTGTTTTAAAGCAAGATGATAAATTATCCCAGAAAATGGGTTCTTGTTTTTTTCTAAGAATATACATGTATATAAAAATAATATGTGAAGTGCAACACTATAATATTAATTCAACTCTTTCTAACTAAAATTAACATTGACTTTTTTTTTAAACTCAGGATTAGTAAGGATATAAATAGTCTTTGCTACCCAGTTCATTATTCATTGTATGATAATCCCTGTTTCAGTAGTCATCTAAATGTTGATCTCTTCCACAGTGTTTTTTGTGACTAACTAACATTGGAAATGGAGGAGACCCAACGAAAAATGCAGTTTCCCCTTGTCTTTCAGTACAAGGTTAAGTATGTCTTTGAAATGGGTAGTTGGCATATGATACAATAAGGAGGGTACCAATGGATGAATAAAGAAATCAAAGTTCCTGCCTTGGCTCACAATAAATTCCCATGGCCTTGGGGAAATCATTTAACCTTGTGAACAACAATTTCACTTTTTCAATTCTCTAGACCAACCGTTGGCAAATTTTTTTTCTTTTACTTAATGGTAAATATTTTAGACTTTGTGGGTCATTTGGTCTCTTGCAACATCTCAATTCTACTCTTGTATTGCAAAAACAGCTATAGACAATATGTAAATGAATAGATATGGCTAGGTTCCAGTAAAATTTTATTTATGAAGAGTGAAATTTGAATTTCATATCATTTTCATGTGTCATAAAATATATTTTGTTTGTATCCCAACCACTTTAAAATATAAAAATGATTCCTAGTTTGTGAACTATGTAGAAACAGGCTGCAGGCTGGATTTGGCCCATGGGCCCTGGTTTACTAACCACTCTTCTAGATGCTTCCTAACAATAAAATTCCCTTTGGTTTTCTAGAGTTTGGAAAAGACAAACAACAAGCCAATTCTTAGGTGAATAATTAAAATGATAATAAAGAGGCTTTTAGAGAAGTTGTAGAAGACAGCATGATGAAGTGATGTTTTTGGAAGGATGTAACAGGCAACTAGCTGAAGTGAAGGATTACACAGAAAAAAGGAGTAGCTCAAAAGAATAGACTTGCCTGGTTGATAACCCAAATATCTAAGCAACACATCTTTGACTTAAACCAAAACAGAAATTAAAGCATAGGAAACTCTAGGGACAAGTAGAGATGACTGTAGACAGGACATTATGTTTGTACACATGCATATTTACATGTATAGTGGTCATTGACACACAGAACAACAGAAACCCTTGAATAACTATGAAGAAGATAAGACATGCCTAATAACATGAGCTTGTGAGAAAAGAGAAACAAAGATACGACCATAGGATGTGTAGGAATAAAAGCATTTTAAGTAAGCTTGCAAAAGAGCTGCCTATTATATTGGGATAATTTGCTTAAGAATAAGTTACACAGTAATAGGTGTGGCAAGAGCAGGTTGGCATATTGCATACTGATTTCTGCGTATATCAACAAGAGGCAAGAAAAAGTAGTATTATTTAATGCATAACACCAACGCAGACATTCAGAAACTTGTATTTCTCCTGTTTTTCCTCTCCAGTCATCAGGTATTGACAGTACCTGTGATATTTAATAAAAGATGTTTCACATTATAATAGAGTGATTTATAACATTCAAGTCCTTAAAACATTTATCAAATGCAAACAGATGTGGAACTATTGTCTTTTCATTTTATGTGGCTAAGTTGGGTGATAATTTTTCTTGTAATATCTCTGTCACATTTTAGTATCAGGGTTATGCATCCTCATAAAACAAGTTGGAGTATGTTAGCTCCACCTTTATTTTCTGAAAAAGCCTTATGTAACACATTACTTCTTCTTTAGATGATTTATAGATTTCAGTGATGAGCCATATGGGCCTACAGTGTGTTCTTGGTGGAAAGGTTTTGGTGATGCAGTCAATTCCTTTAAAAGTTACAGAGCTATTAATGAAAGAGTTGATACGATTACAGTTTCATCTACTGGTTCTAAAGGAGGTGACTTGTATTATTAATCTCTGGGTAACGTGCTGAGTTATGTTTTTGACAGGGTATGATTGTTTTAATAAGCATCGTAGAGTGGCATGCGTTTGTGACTTGCCTTATTTATTCACGCCAATGTCTTCAAAGACTTCAACCTGATCAGCATGAGTATTAATTTATTTTTCTATCTAGTAGCAATTTGATAAAGGCATTCCAAAAACATGGCTTCCTTTGACCATCTATGAAGATAAATTATATCACAAAGAATTGAGATAGTTCCTAATTCAGCAAAATTGTATTCACTCTGATATTATATTAAGGGTGAAGATAATACAAAAGCATTGGAAATATTTTTACAAATGTATTTCATGAATAAAAGCAATAAATAGCACTGGAGTGTTTTCTACAGGGAGTTGTTTAAAGTAATTAATAAGTAGGATTTAACTAAGTGCTGATTAAAAGATGAAATATTAGCATTCTTCCTAAGAGTCATAACCATTAATTTGACTCCCCTTTTACTCATCAAATATACTCAGATGTGTAATAAAAATTAATAAGATATTGTTAGGGAAAAAATTAATTAGATGTTTTTAAGAAAAAATTTTTACAATTTCACATAAAAAATTGCTGACAATAGGTTTTGTCTTAAAGTAGAAAATATTTTAATGGACTCAAAAATATTCATCAAGGAGAAAGTCACAGACTACACAATAATTAGTCTTGTATTAAGTAAATGCATTAATTTTTCTGTTTCAGAACTCTGCTAGTAGGATTTAGTGACATGATATTCTAGGACTCTGTGGTTATTATTCTTATTTCACAATAAGCCACTCAGCATTATCTGGATTTAATATGTATGGGAGCTCAATTATGGGAATGTTTGTCAAGGCATCCTTTAGAATCCAACAAATGAAGGAGCACATATTAAGTTGCTGAGACATTAGTGCTCTCAGAAGTCTATTACTATGTTAAAAGTTATGGTGTATACTAAAATCAGTAAGTTCTCTGCTTTCAGTTTCTGTTAACAACAGTGCCACTACAATTCCTGATGCTCTGTAAAATGATGTTAGCTACGTCTGGCTGACATGCAGAAACTTGTATTTCTCTTCTGTTTTACCTCTCCAGTCATCAGGTATTGATCACTCCTGTGATATTTGATAAAAGATGTTTCACATTATAGTACAGTGATTTATAACATTCAAGTCCTTAAGACATTTATCAAATGCAAACAGATGTGAAACTATTGTCTTTTCATTTTATGTGGCTAAATTGGGTGATAATTTTTCTTGTAATGTCTCTGTCACATTTTAGTGTCAGGGTTATGCCATCCTCATAAAACAAGATGGGGTGTATTATCTCCACCTTTATTTTCTGAAAAAGGCTTATGTACAACTTATTTGTTCTTTAGACGATTTATAGATTTCAGTGATAAGCCATAAGGGCCTACAATTTTCTTTGTGGAAGGGTTTTGGTAATAGGTTCAATTCCTTTAAAAGTTACAGAGCTATTAAAATTTTCTATTTCTTCTTTTGTCAGATTTGGTAAATTGTGTTTTTCAAGTTTTTTTCTTTCTACTTAAATAATCACGTTTATCAGGATAAAGTTCTTTATAGCATTATCTTTTCAGTGTCTACGAGCTCTGTAATTGTATTACCTCTTTCGTTACTATAGGTAATTTGTGTTTCTTTACTTATTTCTTGATCAATCCTTGTTAAAATTACCAATTTTATTAACCATCTCAAGAAAATATTTGTGGCTTTGTAAACTGACTCTGTTGATAGTTCATTTTCTATTAAGATTTCTAATAGAAATATGTACAGTAAAGACCATTCTGATAAGGTGTGATGGAAATGAGGAATATCTTATTGTGAACTTGAATAAAAACCATCCTTACTATACTATAGCAAAGAACTTGCCTCCATTGTGTCCATGTTCTAGGGTTTTATGAAGGTGGAACTTAAGAATGTTGAACTAGGATTTCTGGAAGAAATTTCTAAACAAACTAGAGAAGGAGCTGTATGGTTACTTTTAACTGCTTATACTGAGATCTGGGAGCAAATGAATAATTTAAAACAGAATTTATAACTAAAGGGGATTAACCCCCCAAAAATCTGGAAAAGTCACAGCCTGATCATGTTAAGAGTAAAAAGGCAAGTTTGGGAGAGATTGCTGAGGGTGTGGCCCAGTCACCACTTTCTAATAAGATTAGCATGAAAACAAGAAAGGTAAGTGTCGTGTGTTAGGACAATGGAGAAAAGGCACAGGTCTGGAAGGGCAGAATGGCTTTGCGGAATAGGCCTGGAGTTCCCTGCATCCATACATTGCTGCTCCCTGGATCCTGGCTACTCTGGCCGTGGCTCAAGTGACTCCAGGTGTAGCTTGTGCTGCAGCTTTGGAGGGCACAAGCAATAAGCCTCCGCAGCATCCACAGTCATGTAGTGCTAATTCTGCAGGTGTGCAAAATGCAAGAGAGGTAGAGATGTGGTGGTCTCCACCTAGATTTCAAAGGACATATCAATCTACCTGGGAACCCAAGCAAAAACTTGCTCCAGGGGTAAAGTTGCCACATACAGTCCCTACCATGGCAATGTCTAGTGGAGTGTGGGAGTGCAACCACTGCTGGGTTGGGCCACTGGCAGCATGCAACATCCACCTGGGAAAGCTATAGACACTGGGTTCCAACTCATATAAGTAACCATGTGAGCTGTACATCCAGCACAGCCCTAGGAGCAGAGCTGCCTAAGGCCTTGGGGGCCCAACCCCAGCCCCAGTATGTCCAGGAGATAGCATATAGAATAAAGTATCATTTTGCAGTTTTAAGATTAAATTTCTAGCCTGCTGGGTTTTAGATTAGATTGGGCTGGTCACTTCTTTCTTTTGGTCTATTTTTCCGTTTGGAAATCGAAAATGTTTACCCAATATTTCTCCCACCATTTTATCTTCAAAGTAGATAACTTGTTTTGCATTTTACAGGCTCATAACTGGAGGGAGCTTGCCTTGAGACTCAAATGAGATGGAACTTTAAATGATCGAGTCGTTGCTGAAACAGATAAGACTTTGCAGCTATCAGGTGATTGTATTTTGTACCTGAAAAAGACATGAGTTTGAGGGGCCAGGGGCAGAATGCTATTGGTTTGACTGTGTCCCCTCTGAATTCATATGATTCATATACAAATTCCAATATACTAATCTCAGCATTATGTACACTAATGCAAATTTGAAAGCAATGAACATTGATTTAATAAACTGTCACATTCATATAATACCATGCAGGTGTTAATATAGTAACAAAAAAAGTATTCTAACTAATATGAAAAGCTATATTCATGATAAATTATTAATTTAAAATCAAGTTAAATGGTTTATAGTAATTCTTTCTTTCTCATATCTCTTCATATGCATGTAGACAGGATACAAAATGTTAACACTGATATTCTCTGGGTAGTGGGATTATCAATTATAAATTTTCTTTTTGTATTATTTGCATTTTCTAAATTTCATACAATAAATAGGTATTATTTTATAATAAAGTTTTCTAAAACTGCATTGCATAAATCATGTAGCTTACCCTTCTTTTTTCTTTTAATTCCCAATTTATGCATTTTCTAATCACAAGCAAGGTCAAGAAATTGAGAGAGAAGAGTTGGTTGAAGAATGAGATTCCCAAGGAAGATCAATAGTGAATAACGATAGAAAAGTAGAGGAAAGAGACTAAACAAAGTTAAAGTAGACTGAGAATATAGATTGCTAAGTGGGAAATCATTTGTGCTTAAGTAAAATGGATACATTAGGAGAGCCAGAGAAGGACGATTAAGAGTACTGAGGTCTACATTGTCATGGTTTTTCACATATTTCCTATGTTTGACTTTACAGAAAGCAGGCAGTAGAATATAGCAAAGCTTCTCCAGATAAGATCCTGTCAACACTCAAGTGTCATTAGCCTTAAGCTGCGTGAAGAGTAAGGCTAGTCACACCATTACACCATTACAAGGTACATCAGTCTATAAGGGGCATCAAAACAGTGGGAAAGCAGTAATAATGCAGTTGGGGCTCCACAAAGAATTCTAGTTGTAACATGGAAACATGTAATCTAATCCTCCCTCTGCCAAAGTGGAAATGATAATGATATTTCATATTTAGTATCATGGTTTTGATTTAAAAATCCCTTTGTAGGCAGCAACCATTTCACTAGTAAACAAATATGAAATAAATATTTAAATATTGTCAGTTTGAAATTATGCCACAGTATTTTTCTGTCTAAGGGCAATAGTAGGTTGTAGTTCATTTGTGCATCCAATTACAAATCAGAAAAAGGGATTTAACAAGATTCCAATAAAAACCTCCCATGCTCATGGATTGAAAGAGTCAGTATAGTTAAAATGGCCATACTGCCCAAAGCAATCTACAGATTCACTGCTATTCCTATCAAGTTCCTAATATCATTTTTTATACAATTAGAAAAATTATTCTAAAATTCATGTAGAACTTAAAAAGACCCTGGATTGCCAAAGCCATCCTATTCAAAAAGAACAAAGCTGGAGACATCATATTATCACATTATCCAACTTCAAACTATACTATAAGGCTACAGTAACTAAAACAGCATGGTACTGATACAAAAACAGACACATAGACAAATGAAACAGAATAGAGAACCCAGGAATAAAGCTGCACACGTATAGACACTAATCTTCAACAAAGTCAACAAAAACAAGCAATGAAGAAAAGATTCCCTATTCAATAAATGTTGGCTGGGATCGCTGGCTAGCAATATGCAGAAGAATAAACCTGGGCCCCTGCCTATCACCATATACAAAGATTAACTTAAGATGGATTAAAGATTAAAATATAAGTCCTCAAACGATAGTAACTCTGGAAGACAGCCTAGGCAATACCACCCTGGACACAAGAACTGGCAAAGATTTCATAATAAATGAAATCATGTCCTTTGCAGCAACATGGAGGCAGCTAGAGACCATTATCCTAAGTGAATTAACACAGGAACAGAAAACCAAATACCACATGTTCTCACTTATAAGTGGGAGCTAAACACTGTATATACATATGGATATAAAGATGCAACAATAGGCATTGGTGATTACTGGGAGGAAGAAAGAGAGATTAAGTTTCAAAGCCAACTATTGTATATGCTATGTACTATGCTTAGTACCTGGGTGAAGGGATCAATCACATCCCAAACCTCAGCATCATGTAATATATCCATGTAACAAACCTACACATGTACTCCCTGAATCTAAAATAAAAGTTAGAGTTATTGAAAAAAAAAAAAAAAGTCAGGAATTTCAATTCATGACCCTATTGGAAAACACCAGATCTGAATATGCAGAAGCAGTCAGCCAAATGTTTAGACCTACAGTATTTTTTATAAAACAAGAAAAAGAGTATTATACAGCTGTATTAGTCCATTCTCATGCTGCTATGAAGAAATACCCGAGATTGGGTAATTTACAAAGGAGAGAAGCATAATTGCCTCACAGTTCTGCATTGCTGGGTGGGGCCTCAGTAAACTTACAATCATGGCAGAAGGCAAAGGAGAAAAAGGCACCTTCTTCACAGGGCACAGGATGGAGTGAGTGCAAGCAAGGGGAATGTCAGACCCTTACAAAACCATCAGATCTCCTGAGACTCACTCATTATCATGAGAACAGGGTGGCGAAACCACCCCCATAATTCAATTACCATATCAACAACACACATAAAGGAATGCAGATCCCTTAGATGACCTATTAAAGAAATGGAAATAGATTTTTAGAGACTGGTAGAGTAGGCCGCGCCTAGCTGCGCGCCATGGCCTGGTTGCTGGCGTTGCTGGGCCGGGCAGGCAGGGTGGGCGCCCGGGTCCGGCCTCGTGCCACCTGGCTCCTGGGCTCCACCGTCCCCTGCGCCCCGCCGCCCCTGGCCCTGGCCCTGCTCCCGCCCAGGCCAGAGACGCCCGGCTGCTCCGCACGGCGCGCGGGGACTGCCGCGGCCGCCAGGATCCCAGTCAGGCCACAGAGACAACAGGCAGCAGCGTCAGTTGCACAGAGGAGAAAAAGCAAAGCAAGTCACAGCAACTGAAAAAGATTTTTCAAGAGTATGGCACTGTCGGCGTGTCACTGCACATTGGAATCTCATTAATCTCCTTGGGCATATCTTACATGGTTGTGTCAAGTGGTGTGGACATGTCTGCAGTCCTGCTGAAACTCGGATTTAAAGAGTCCCTGGTACAGTCAAAAATGGCAGCAGGCACAGGTACCTTTGTGGTGGCCTATGCAATCCACAAGCTGTTTGCGCCAGTGAGAATCAGCATGACGCTAGTCTCTGTGCCCTTGATTGTCAGATATTTTCGAAAAGTGGGATTTTTTAAACCTCCCGCTACAAAACCTTAATGAACTCTTCAGTCGTACACACTGAAAACCTATTTCTTCTAAATTACACAATTTGCATTGGTTTTAGGGTTGTAGGGTTTCTTTTGGAGAGGTAGGGGGCTAATTGCTATGTTCTCATGGATAAACTTTGCCAGCAAAAATCAGGCTTTTGAACAATTAAAAAAAAAAAAAAGAGACTGGTAGAGTAAAAAAAAAAAAAAAAAAAAAAAAAGGAAACATTGTAGAGGAGCTAAAATATGCACCTAAACTAAATCCACATTCAAAATAGCAAAAAACAAAATGAACACATCAGAGAATTTGAGAAACCATCCTAGAATATAGAAAAAAGTTGAAAAGTACAAAACATGAAAGCTATCAAAGAGAAGATGGTATCTGTGAGAGAAAAAAGGAGAGATTTGATTCTCTAATTATAGGTATTTCTGAAAAAGAATCAAATTAGAAAACTTGCAACAGAAACTAAAATCAAGTATACAATTTAAGAAAAATTTGCTCTCCTGGAAAATATGCTGTTTACATTAATTGACTTAAAGAGAGTTCACACAACATTAATGAAAGGAAACTCACTTCCTGATCAAATAGTGGAATTATAAGACTGCAGAAACATTAAAGGAGTATTTGGACTAAAAGAAATAAATCCAAGGTCAGGCATGTGGTGCAGACCTGTAATCCCAGCACTTTGGGAGGCTGAAGCCCGAGGATTGCTTGAGCCTAGGAGTATGAGACCAGCCTGAGAAACATGGCGAAACCTCATCTCTCCAAAAAAAAAAAAAAATCTCTCTCTCTCTATATATATATACACAAAAATTAGCCAAGCATGATACAGCATGCCTGTGGTCCCAGCTACTTGGGAAGCTGAGGTGGGAGGATTGCTTGAGCCCAGGAGGTCGAGTCTGCAGTGAGTTGTGATATGATTGTGCTATTATTTATTCTCCAGCCCGAGTGAGAGAGAAGACCAAAAAAAAAAAAAGAAAGAAAGAAAAAGAAATGATACGACTTCGATGAGTGGAGGAACACCAGGGCTCTTAGGCTGAATTGCATAAAATGACAGATACACGTGGAGTAGTTTTAAGGAGCAGAGAGTTTAATAGGCAAGAAAAAAGAAAGAAGGAAGAAGCTTCCCTGTACGAAACAGAGGGAGGGGGTCTTCAAAGCTAGGAGAGGAAACCCGGAGTGCAGCAGATACCAGCTTTATATGAGGAGGCTGAAGGAGGTGGTGTCTGATATGCATAGGGCTTAGGGGATTGGTTTCACTAAGCATGTCATTCACATAGCCTGAGAAAAAACTGACCCTCCCACCCTAGTCTTTTAATATGCAAATGCAGGGCGCCATGATATTCTACATACTTAGGGATATGTGGGGGCAGGCATGTTGCCAGGCATATGTGGGGGCAAGGGCAAGAGGACAATGGTGGGAATCAACATGTTTAGATGGAAGCAGCTTCTAATGGCCTGCATTTGTATATCAAAGGTTGCCTGACCGGCTCTAAGAACCAGACAAGAAATGTTTCCGGAGCTGCTTTAAAAGAGACAAAAACTTTCCAAGAACCATTTTGCCCCTCCATCAAGGTAAAGTACTTTCTTAATAACTCCTGTGACGGAAAGAAAAAAAGAAAAAGAAAAGAAGTAAATCCAGGCCACAGTCTCAGTCTTATCTGAATATTAAAATCCAGAAGTCTTTTTTATAAAGTTTTGAAAGAATTAGAGAGAACTGTATGTTTTACTTCTTCATTTTTAGCAATTGGAAGAGAGAATAGCACATTGTAGACATCAATAATTATTCTATTGAGTGAATAAATGAATAAAGATTAGCTAGTTGCCCATCATGTATGAAGGCAAAATACATTGTTAAAAATTTAATATGCACACACCCCTTAGAAAACAAAAGAAATCTCTTAATATTGTATTGATAAAGAGATGTATTCTAATTAATATTTTGAGCACTGAGAAGTCAAGGAGACCAGTAGTTCAGTCAATGACAAGAGGGACTGAATAGAATCACAGCTGCAGGTCGCCACACTAGAGAACCCAGAGGTTAGTTCAGCGATTGCTTCCCAAAGATGCTTCTGGATAAAACTTCAATGAAAGTCAAATTGTCATAACTTTTTTTTTTTTTAACTCATTACAGGAATAAGCTGTAACTGCCACACACACACACACACACGTGCACATACACACAAATTCCTCCAAACTGACTCTGAGTTTAAAAAGTCAGTTTTGCTATTTCTAGACAAATGCCCCATCCCTCATTCCAACACTCATGGAATGAAAACATACTAAAATATGATTATCTTAGATCCGGAGGTTTGAGGTCAATTAAATGTATTTTATTTTCTGTGTTTTCTAGTCTTCATTAGGTATTTATATTGAATAATTCTTTGTTTTCAGAAAAGAAATATAAAATTATTATCTATAGTGGTAATTTCTAGATTTTGTCCGGTAGTGATTAAACATCTTTGAAATACTCAAATGAAAACAGGAACCCAGTTGTTTATTCTATTGATAGTTTCAATTGAGAGTTCAATAAAATATCGAGGAAGCAAAACCTCTTTTGTACATGTTTTTTGTTTTGTTTTGTTTTGTTTTGAGACGGAGCCTCACTCTGTCTCCCAGGCTGGAGTGCAGTGGCCAGATCTCGGCTCACTGCAAGCTCCGCCTCCCGGGTTCACGCCATTCTCCTGCCTCAGCCTCCTGAGTAGCTGGGACTACAGGCGCTCGCCACCACGCCCGGCTAATTTTTTGTATTTTTGGTAGAGAGGAGGTTTCACTGTGTTAGCCAGGATGGTTTCGATCTCCTGACCTTGTGATCCGCCCGCCTCGGCCTCCCAAAGTGCTGGGATTACAGGTGTGAGCCACCGTGCCTGGCTTTTGTACCTGTTATGGTTGCTTTGGGGAGCTTTCTAGGCATACAAGTGCTGCAATTTTTTTCTCTGGTTTGCTTTTAAACTCTTAATCGTATCCTTCTAGCCAAATCAACAACCTGAATTAGATCTTGATCCTGCATCTGAGCTCCTGATTCCATGCTTCCTTCCTTCCAAGCCTGAAAAGACCATCCCTGACTTTCACAATGCAGGGTATTTTCTAGAGTCTTACTTGATTCAGCAGATTTGCCTGAGAGTGAACAAATGAAGCATGAAGATTTATATGGAACTGTCTAACACAAGCACATGCTATTATATCATTAATAAGAAGAATTAAATCATTGGCTCTGCTGTTTCCAGCCTTTAAATTCAATTTGTTTTTATTGTAGCTAACTGGCAAAAGACAGGAGTCAAATGATCAGTTTACAACAGGAGACGCCATGTCATTTGCTACACAATCAGTCCTCTGTGTTCTGTCGATGAAGACGGACCAAAAGAGATCACTTTCAGATTTATTGTTGTAATAAAATGTATTGACCTGTGATCAGTGGAAATGAGATTATACCAGCCCTTTCTTTTGTGAAATAAAACTTTCCAAATACTATAAGGGCTAGAAAGTAAAATAAATATTTTTGTGTAGGGGAAAGTAGATTCTTCTGATCCACCATGTTGGGTTTCTTACCCTTGCTTCTATAGTCAGAGTCCTTTTGGCTATATGTAATAATAGAAGGAAAGAGAGGGATTGAGAATATCATTATAACTGAGTGGTTACTGCAGAAAACAAGAAATGATTCCTTACCTAGTAAAAATAACTAGCTACCTAGAATTTGCATAAAGGCAACTGAGTTATCTGCAAATTTGGTATGCCCAGGGAGGCTAAACAAATACAATCGATACCTCATAAAGATGTCTGGATGTTATAGGAATAATGTCGCAGACAAACAATATAGTAGATAGAAGAGAAAATCATTTCAGAAGTGTTCTATCAATCTTAATGCAAGTTCTGCACAATGTAGAGTGCACCACTGTACTCCACTGTTGGCTCTTACTATACTTTGTTTCACCCTGCCAAGGAAATAGTTGGGAGTAAGACCTCAACTTGGATGCCAGTCTATTCAAGATACTTCAAAATTATCAAGATTCTATTAAGTGAGATTCAGAATCGAGTGAAAATGAGCCCTTAGCGAAGGGGCCTTCAGTCTCAAATAGTAAAAATCAGTGTTGTGTCCTAACAATCTATCTGAGATCTTTAGTAACTTGATATGACCATTTGTGGCTATATACATATTATCCTGGTATGAAAATGAGAAAAAGTATAATTTGCTTTGATAATATGGTTTATCTATTCCTTCAATATATATTTGAGTGCATACTATGTATTCTACACTGATGTCAGCTGAGATAAATCAGTCAAAACCAAACAAAACCAAAAACAAATGCAGAAGTCAAGACCCTGATATTAAGAAGAAAGCATTATAAACTTGTTACCTAGTAGGCATAATGTAACATGTCATTAGAGTCACACATAAAAGATTTAAACAGAATTTTTAATTTTGTTAGCAACTTTGTTGAATGTTCTCATCTCTAGTAATTTTCCCATATATTATTTTAGGTTTCTATGTAGAAAATCATAACAATTGCAAATAATGGAAATTTTATTTCTTTATATCCCATCCATATTTATTTTACTACTATTTTCCATTTCATTTTACCATAATTTACAAAACTTGGCATAAATTCCTTTGGAATCAATTTGATTTCTTCTTTTTTTTAACTTTTGATATTTTAAGTAAAATATGATACACATACAAAATTGTACAAAACTACATATATGTATTTGTATATATATGTGTATAAATTACCACAAAGAGCACATATTTTTTTGTAGCCATCACCCAGAGCGAGAAGCAGAATATTTCAGAAGCACTGAAAACCCCCATTAGATCCTTTGCAATGATCACCTCTACCTTCCCCATGAAAAGTACCGAACGTGCAGACTTTGAACACCATAGTTTTATTTTCTTGTTTTGGAATATTTTATAAAGTCATATACTATGTTTTCTTTTGTATCCATCTTTTTCCTTTTGTATCTAGCTTTTCTACTTCATAGTATATCCATGAGATCCATCTATTTTTTTAAATCTTAAATTCTGTTACCATCATATGAATACAACATGACTTATTTTTATGTTTTTCTATTGAGGGACTTTTGGATTGTTTCGGGTTTTTGTTTATACAAGAAAGACTGATATATAAATTAATTTTACATATGTCATTTGGTGCATATGTGCATGTATATATTTTTAATATATATCTGTAAGTGGAATAGTGGGTTTATAGAATAAGCATACAACCTTAATAGATACTGATACTCAGTTTTCCAAAGTGGCTGTATACTTTAGCTGTACACACCAAAGTGGTATTTACAATACCACCAGTAGTGTATAAACATTCCTGTTTCTTAATATCCATGCCACCATTAGGTATCATTAGTCTTTTAATTGTAGCCAGTTCGGTGGGTGTTTAGTCATATCTAATCGTGTTTTTTTTTTTTTTTTTTTCCTGAATACTAATAAGGTTAATCAACTTTTAATATTATGATTATTTTGATATTTTAAGGCATTGTTATTTTCTCTTTCACATTTAGATCTACAATACACTGCAACAGACTTTTATATATGGTGTGAAGTAGTAGGAAAATTTGAAGTATTTCAGCACCATTGTCTTCAGTGCTACCTTTGATATGAATGAATTGTGTACCTATAATTGAGTTAACTTCAGACTTTTAATTATATTCCAGTGTTCTTTTGTTTGTTCTTTTACCAGTATTCTATTGTATTAATTATATACCTTTACAAATAATAGTTGTATTCATTAGATTAAGTTATTTCACCATGTTCTTTTAGAAGATTTTTATTGTCAGAATTTTTGACTTCCATAAAAATTTTATAATCATATGCAAATTTTTAAAAAACTTATTGGAATTTTTAAGATTGCATGAAATATCTAGGTTAATTTAGAGAGAATTGCTGACTTCAAATTTTGCATCTTCCAGGTTGTGAAAAGAGTATATACTTCAATTAAATTAATTTTAAAAAATTTATCTGAAGAACATTTTATTATTTTAGAAGTATTTTCACACGCATTGTTTTCAATTTGTTCTTAGGTACCTAATTTTTAAAATAATATTGCTAATTTTAAAAATCATTGTTTGTTTTTGGAATGTAGAAAGTTGATTTTCATACACCCATTGACATTGTATCTAGAAATCTTTAATCTTGCCAAACTGCTTATTAATTTAACAATTTGTATGTACCTAATTGTAGATGTTCTAACCTTTCAATCATAGTGTTTGCAAATAATGATTATTTTATTTCTTTTTTCCACCTTTTATTTTTTTAAAAGAAAACTGTTATTTCCTCATTGTGTATTTATAATTTCTAATAGATGTTGAATAGCAGGGTGTTACTGGCAGTTTTCATTTCTGCAAACATTGTTTCTATCTAGAATCTCTGCTACTTTTGGAACTCCAGTTAGGCATATGTTAGAATTCTCAGTGTATCCCATATTTATCTTACCTTCTTTTCTCTATTTCCCAAACTTTTGGAGCTCTCTGCTTCATTTTCAGTGTTTTGTTTAATCTGTATTATAAGTCCTTGACTTTCTTTTCAGTTGTATCTAATCTATTATTAACCCAACCACTGAGTTTTTAATTTTAGCTACTCTATTTTTGGGATTTAGAATTTTTGTTTAGCTCTTTCTTTTATAATTCTCCTTGCCAAAATTGCCACCTTATACTATATATTCATGAACATGTTAATCATAAAGTATTTGTTGGGAGCAAGCCCCCCAAAATCTGGCCATAAACTGGCCCCAAAACTGGCCATAAAATCTCTGCAGCACTGTGACATGTTAATAAGGGCCCTAACGCCCACGCTGGAAGGTTGTGGGTTTAAGGGAATGAGGACAAGGAATACCTGTCCCGCCCAGGGCGGACACCACTTAAAGACATTCTTAAGCCACAAACAATAGCATGAACGATTTATGCCTTAAGGGCATGTTCCTGCTGCGGTTAACTAGCCCAACTTATTCCATTAATTCGACCCATCCCTTCGTTTCCCATAAGGAATTTTAGTTAATTTAATATCTATAGAAACAATGCTAATGACTGGTTTGCTTTAATAAACATGTGGGTAAATCTGTGTTCGGGGCTCTCAGCTCTGAAGGCTGTGAGACCCCTGATTTCCCACTTCACACCTCTATGTTTCTGTGTGTGTGTCTT